GGGAGCTCAGGACAAGGTAAGTGAAACAGGAAATTACTGAGTAACGCTGCAGGGTAATCCCGAGTGTAGCTCGGGGTTACCGCTTTTAGCACTGATAATTAACCCCGAGCTACACTCGGGAATAGCGCCAGGGAGGTTAATGACTGGCACAGTACCACTTGGCATAAGGCCAATGTGGTGCCTACATTTAAAAAGGGATCAAAATCTTTACCAAGTAACTATAGACCTGTTAGTTTAACTTATTTATAGTTAGATACTGGAGAGTTTAATAAAAGACCACATAGATGAGTTCTTGCTGGAAAAAAAATAATTTAAGCAACAGACAGCATGAATTCATGAAAGACAGAAGCTGTCAAACAAATCTGATTTTTTTTTTTATCAGGAGGTGAGCAAAACCATGGACAGAGGGGTGGCAGTGGATGTGGTATACTTGGATTTTGCAAAAGCGTTTGACACAGTTCGGCACACACGGCTAATGTGTAAGGTAAAGTCTACAGGCTTGGAAAAATCTGTATGTACAGTGCATCCAGAAAGTATTCACAGCGATTAACTTTTGACACATTTTGTTATGTTACAGCCTTCCAAAATGGATTAAATTAATTTTTTCCTCAACATTCTATAAACAATACCCCATAATGACAACATGAAAGAAGTTACTTTGAAATCTTTGCAATTTATTAAAAAAAAAAAAACAAAAGTATTCACAGCACAGCCTTTGCCATGACACTCAAAATTGAGCTCTGGTGCATCCTGTTCCCACTGATCATCCTTGAGATGTTGCCACAACTTGATTAGAGTCCACCTGTGGGAAATTCAGTCGATTGGACATGAATAGGAAAGGCATAAACCTGTCTAGATAAGGTCCCACAGTTAACAGTGCATGTCAGAGCACAAACCAAGCCATGAAGTCCAAGGAATTGCCGGTAGACCTCTGAGAAAGGATTGTATCAAGGCACAGATCTGGGGAAGGGTGCAGAAAAATGTCTGCAGCATTGAAGGTCCCAATGAGCACAGTGGCCTCAATCTTCCATAAAATGGAAGAAGTTTGCAACCACCAGGAATCTTCCTAGAGTGGGCCTGCCTAGCCAAAGTGAGCGTTCAAGGGAGACGGACCTTAGCCAGGGAGGTAACCAAACACCCGATGGTCAATCTAAAAAGAGCTCCAGTGTTTCTCTGTGGAGAGAGGAGAACCTTCCAGAAGAACAACCATCTCTGCAGCACTCCACCAATCAGGCCTGTATGGTAGAGTGGCCAGACGGAAACCACTCCTCAGTAAAAGGCAAATGGCAACCCGCCTGGAGTTTGCCAAAAAGGCACCTGAGGTACTCTCAGACCATAAGAAACAAAACTCTCTGGGCTGATGAAACAGAGTACCAAGTGTCATGTCTGGAGGAAACCAGGCACCGCTCACCACCTGGCTAATACCATTCCTACAGTGTTGCATGGTGGTGGCGGCATCATACTGTGGGGATGTTTTTCAGTGGCAGGAACTGGGAGACTAGTCAGGATTGAAGGAAAGATGAATGCAGCAATGTACAGAGACATCCTTGATGAAAACCTGTTCCAGAGAGCGCTAGACCAGGGCGACGGTTCATCTTTCAACAGGACAATAATCCTAAGCACACAGCCCACATAAAAGGAGTGGCTACGGGACAACTCTGTGAAATTCCTGGAGTGGCCCAGCCAGAACATCTCTGGAGAGATCTGAAAATGGCTGTGCACCAACGCTCCCCATCCAAACTGATGGAGCTTGAGAGGTACTGCAAAGAAGAATAGGAGAAATTGCCCAAAAATAGGTGTGCCAAGCTTGTAGCATCATACTCAAAACGACTTGAGGCTGTAATTGGTGCTAAAGGTGCTACAACGAAGTATTGCACAAAGGCTGTAAATACTTATGTACATGTGGTATTTTTCATTTTTAATAAATTGCAAAAATTTCAAAACGAACTTCATTCACATTGTCATTATGGGGTATTGTTTGTAGAATGTGGAGGAAAAAATGTAATTTAATCCATTTTGGAATAAGGCTGTAACATAATAAAATGTGGCAAAAGTTAAGTGCTATAAATACTTTCTGGAGGCACTGTACATGCATGACAACGTCGAAGCATGCTCCTAATGTGACAACAGATGGTGTCCTGGGGTATTTCCTCCTAGATCTGGACCAGGGCATCACTGAGCTCCTGGACAACTGAGGTGCAACCTGGCGGCGTCAAATGGACCGAAACATGATATCCCAGAGGTGTTTTATTGGATTTAGGTCAGGCAAGATTGGGGGCCATTCAATGGTATCAATTCCTTCATCCTCCAGGAACTGCCTTCATACTGCATACTCTCGCCACATGAGGCCGGGCATTGTTGTGTACCAGGAGGAACCCAGGACCCACTGCATCAGCATAGGGTCTGAGAATGGGTCCAAGGATTTAATCCCTATAACTAATGGCAGTCAGGGTGCTATTGTCTAGTCTGTAGAGGTCTGTGCGTCCTTCCCAGACCATCACTGACCCACCACCAAAACGGTCATGCTGAAGGATGTTACAGGCAACATAACATTCTCCACGGCTTCTCAAAACCCTTTTACATCTGTCACGTGCTCAAGGTGAACTTGCTCTCATCTGTGAAAAGCACAGGATACCAATGGCAGACCTGCCAATTCTGGTGTTCAATGGCAAATGCCAATCGAGCTCTAAGGTGCCAGGCAGTGTGCATAGAGCCCACTAGAGGACATCAGGCCCTCAGGCCACCGTCATGAAGTCTGTTTTTAATAGTTTGGTCAGAGACTTTACACCACTGGCCTGCTGGAGGTTATTTTGTAGGTCTGGCATTGCTCATCCTGTTCCTCCTTGCACAAACGAGCAGATACCAGTTCTGCTGATGATTTAAGGACCTCCTAAAGCCCTGTCCAGCTCTCCTAGAGTAACTGCCTGTCTCCTGGAATATCCTCCATGCTCTCAAGACTGTGCTGGGAGACACAGCAAACCATTAGGCAATGGCACGTATCGATGTGCCTTCCCGGAGGAGTTGGACTGCCTGTGCAACCTCTGTAGGGTCCAGGTATCGCCCCATGCTATCAGTAGTGACATTGACCCTAGCCAAATACAAAACTAGTGAAAAACAGAAAAGATGAGAAGGGCAAAAATGTCAGTGGCCTACACCTGTAAAACCATTCCTGTTTTGGGGGTCATCTCATTGTTGTTTATCTAGTGCACCTGTTGTTAATTTCATTAAAGTGATACTAAACCCAGGACCCTGCATTCACTATATCTGGTTTCCCATAGTACAAACGACATGGAAATGCAATTTTAGTAAATATATACCTTTTCTCATCAGCAGTTAGAGCAGTCTTGTGACTTTAGATGAGCACTGGTTAAAGCTTGTAGGAGGAGTTTTCTTTCTGCTCTAGGAGGAGATGAAACCTCTGACCCTCTGTCTAGATAGTGCCAATTGGCCCTGTGCTGATCACATGCACCCTCCCAAAAAAAAAAAAAAAAAAACCTCCAGCAATACACACTAAACTGTGCATGTGACCAGGGGTGCAGACTGTATCAGGTGGTCATTTCAACAAGAGGAGGGGCAGAGAAGAAAAGATCAAACAGCCTTTTTACACAATGCAGAGGATTAACCCTCTTAGGTTCGACAGTGTGTACAACAAGCATGCTTTGCTGCATACACAGACTGATTTTACTGTTATGGGTTTAGTAACACTAACACCAAAGCAGCTGAAACGGATTAACAACTCCCTCTGCTACTTAACTGACCAGATCAATATCCCAGGAGTTTCATTGATTTGATGCTATACTCCGATTGAAAAGCATTCCTTTACCGCCTTTCACATAGCAACTGGGGGAGGAGAAATGGGGAATTCTATAGAGTGTCAAAGAGTAAGTTCACCTTTTTACAAAAAATAATAAAATACACAATTTTGGAGGTAAACAAAATGCGTTTTTACTATTTTATGGGTGTAAAATGTTCAGAAAGGGAAACTTATTCTTTAAGTGACAGGACAGAGTCTAAAGGAGATGCTGACATAACATCCAATATGGAGATACCCAGCAGGAGTCTTAGGGCTTTTGAATGTCTACACAACTGAGGCTTTGACAGATAAATTACATGCTTAAAAAGATTTTTGTTGAAACAAATGGTCTGGTGACATGGTCAAAACCAGTGTTTCACAACCTTTTTTCAGTCGAGGCACCCTTTAAAAATATGCACAATTAGAATTATGCACAATTCTAAAATGTAAAAAACTAAACTAATTTTACATAGCACAGCAGAATCCACACACGTAGGGACACCCAACGTTAGAGGCGATTTATTCTTCCAAAAGAAATAAACCTTTGCACAGACTAGTATTTTAATTTTTCGCTTCTCTCTCAGTTTCTCTCCCTCTCTCAGCTAATGTGACCCCAATGCTGATGGAGAGGGGCAGGGGAGGGGTAAACAAGGATGCTGTGCAGGAGCCCGAAGTCCTCCTTATCAACCAATGACATCATTGGTTGTTAGGACGCCGGGGGCTAGAAAGTTGTAATGGTGAACAATGAAAACCTGTGGCTTTGTTTAACTAAGAGGCAGGCTTGATTACAATTTTTTAATTTTTTTCCAAGGAACCCTTGAAGAAACCTGCAGACACACTGATTGAAAAAGGTTTAATAATACAATGCAAAAAAAAACAATGGTGTGCTGCAATCTATGAAAAAAAAAAAAAAATCACCTTTCATAATTATACTGAAAGCTGACACAGAAGGCCAGGGTACTTAAAACACAAAATAGTGGCTTCCCATCTCCAAGGTCAGAACTCAAGCACACGCCTGTATCTGTCTACACAATGAAATCTCTGAAGAGAGGTATACATTGCAAGGAGGAAACAGGCATGCCTAAAATATGACTTCACAGCTGAAAGTGTGCATGGTTATTACTGAAATAAAGAACACTGGACAGTGATAAAGATGAGCACACAAATAAGATGGATGCAATAACTGTAAAAGAGAAAAGGCACTTACATCCATCTATCTCTTCCTGCACATCATCCTGAAGCAGCGACAAATCTACAAGAAACGTAACATATGAAATGACAAAAAACAAACAAACACTCATGCTTACCTAAACATTCACACTGCCAATACATTTTAAAAATTCATTTGGGGTGTTAATGTCTAGCTTGCAACTCATCAAAGCAATTCCTTATAGAGCTTTAACAGTAAATAATCCAGAAATGTTAAGATTGATGTAAAAGATTTCAATAAAGGGTTAGTTCACTATAGTATACTATAGTAAAATTTACAGTGCAGTCAAGGGGTCCTATTAATTTCCAAATTCTGCAGAACGCTCAGATTGCTACTTTTTGGCCAGGCTTTGCAGAAGCCATGCGTGGCCTACAGGTATTGTAATAGAACCAATGCAAAATGATTTGTTACAGTATATGTGAGCTCTCAGCTTATAAAATACACATTTTAACATAGAAATGAAAGGCAAAACATTTGTGTATACATTATAAAAAAAACAAAACAAAAAACACACACACATACATACATACATACATACACACAATACCACCACCACCCCCCCCCCTTTTTTTTTTTTTATAAGTGATCACATTCCCTCTGTTCTCAGCTGCAGAAATAGCTCAGAGAGCTGGGGAAGGAGAAGTGTCAGTACACTGATGTTCCCAGTGAATGGCTGTGAAGGGAAAGGGGGAGGCTGTCAGCAAGTCTGACCAGTGGAGAACAGACTGAGTTCTCAGCACAACACTGTGCTCTCCTGCCTAGTATGGTCAAAAAGTGATTAAACAAAAAAAAAAAAAATCAGGCCCCTATTGGTTTACGTCATAATGTCCTAGTATGCACTGCATACTAGCACATTATGACAGAATTACCTGGATACTGTGCCCTCCAGTGCAGCGCTGTCATGACTCCCGAGCACATCCATCTTCCTCCAGTCTTCCTTCCAGGTTAACGGACTCCGGCTGTATGAATGGCCTGGGCCCTAATGATGTCACCATGTGGAGCACCCAGCACAAAGTTCTAAAGGTATGGCATGGGTATGCTGATCCTTCAGAGTGCATGCTCCGGTGACGTCAACAGGTGCAGGCGGTGTGAATAACTCCTATACAGTGCAAGTTTAGGTGATATTTACTGTACCTACAGGTAAGTCTTATTGTAAGCTTACCTGTAGGTATAATGTCAAAAGTGGACTTCCCTTATAATTTAATAGGAAAGCAGAGGGACTGGCAGGAACATCAGGGATTTCACACAAAGGAAGCAATGCAAAGAGAACAGGGGTACTTTTTCATGAAAGTACATGGTACAGCGGGCACATATCAATATGAAATGTTGGGTTTATAAATTCTTTATAAAGCAGTTGTAAAAGGCTTAAGGTTATTTACCTTCATGCATTCTAGGCATGAAGGTAAAAAAACCTGTGTGCAGCAGTGCCCCCAACCCCCTCAATACTTACCTGAGCCTCATCAAGATCCAACAATGTGCACAACAGCCTCAGCTGTCCCAGGTCTCTGCCTCATTGGCTGAGACATTAAGCGTGTGCCATTGGCTCCCACTGCTGTCAATCACAGCCAGTCAGCCTAAAAGGAGAGGGGACAGGGCCAAGCCTTGGCTCCGTGTGTGAATGGACACATGGAGCAACAGGTGCCTCCATAGCAAGCTGCTTGCTATGGGGGCACCCGACAGAAAGTGCAAAACCACTACACAGAACAGGCAAGTATAGACATGTTTGTTATTTAAAAATAAAAAAATATATATATGAACCTTTAGTATTGCTTTAACTACTGGGGCCTCTTAACTACACTTTAGGGGTTTGGTTCATCTATATAGTAAAATATGCACCCAGGAACACCATCGCATATGATTGGTTCTTTCTGATCATCTTAGCACTGCGTAAAACAAATTAACGTGTCACTAAACCCACATCACAAAGACCTATCAATAAACATTGTATTACATGCTGTTCATACTCACTCAGTCACTATGGGATTTGTTTTCTGTATTCTGCAAAAAACCTGGTTCATCCTGTTGTTATCTATCTCCCTAATCTGTCCATGTCCCCAAAGCAGTTGGGGGATTTTGTAGAGCAGTGTTGGCCGTTCACACATCTGAGCAGCCCATGTGACTATAGAATCATACATGTGAACGTATACACAGTGGAAAATGACAGCCCACTCCCTTCCTCCTCCTCCATGCCCACTAATCAGCTAAACACAATGGGAGTGGGGTATTACATCTTGATTGATGGAGGCTTCGCCTCCATGTTATTCTAAGACAAAGGTTGGAAGGGAGTAACACAGCCAGTGACTGGCAGAAATCTGCCCACACCATGTTACTGCCAAAAAATAAAGATTTTATTTTATACATACACCCTATATTGCCAAAAGTATTGGGGCGCCTGCCGTTACATGCACACAAACTTTAATGGCATCCCAGTCTTAAGTCTGTAGGGTTCAATATTGAGTTGGCCCATCTTTTGCAGCTACAACAGCTTCAACTCTTCTGGGAAGGCTGTCCACAAGGTTTAGGAGTGTGTCTATGGGAATGTTTGAGCATTCTTCCAGAAGCTCATGTTGGATGAGAAGGCCTAGCTCACAGTCTCCACCCCAATTCATCCCAAAGGTGTTCTATCAGGTTGAGCTCAGGACTCTCTGCAGGCCAATCAAGTTCCTCCACCCCAAATTCGCTCATCCATGTCTTTATGGACCTTGCTTTGCCCACTTGTGCACAGTCACGTTGGTACAGGAAGGGGCCATCCCCGAACTGTTCCCACAACGTTGGGAGCATGAAATTGTCCAAAATGTCTTGCTATGCTGATGCCTTAAGAGTTCCCTTCACTGGAACTAAGGGGCCAAGCCCAACCCCTGAAAAACAACTGCACACCATAATCCCCCCCTCCACCAAACTTTACACTTGGCACAATGCAGTCAGGCAAGTACTGTTCTCCTGGCAACTGCCAAACCCAGATATATCCATCAGATTGCCAGAGAAGCATGATTCATCACTCCAGAGAACACGTCTCCACTGCTCTAGAGTCCAGTAACGGCGTGTTTTACACCATTGCATCCGACGGTTTGCTCTTGGCGATGTAAGGCTTGGATACAGCTGTTCGGCCATGGAAACCAATTCCATGAAGCTCTCTACGCACTGTTGTACTTATCTGAAGGCCACACCAAGTTTGGAGGCCTTTAGCTATTGACTCTGCAGACAGTTGTCGCACTGTGCTCTCCAGCATGTGCTGACCCCGCTCTGTCATTTTACGTGTTGCTGCTATTCCCAGATGCTTCCACTTTGTTATAGTACCACTTACACCCCGGTCACACTGATCAGACTTTGAAATCGTGCGACTTACAGTGAAGTCGCACAATTTCAAAGTTGGATGTCATTTTGACTTGAGGCGCAACTTGCAAGACATCTGCGGCAAAATACAGATGACTATGCAAGTCACACCTGAAGCAGTGCATGCACTACTTTAGAAATCGGTGTGGCTGCGACCACGTCAGATTAACACTGATATGACTGCTTTAACTGCGGACAATAGGGTGCGACTTGCCATGCGATTTGCACCTTGCATTGCATGGCAAATCACATGGGAAGTCGCACCCAGTGTGACCGGGGTGTAACACTTGACTGTGGAATATTAAGTGGCAAAGAAATTTCATGGATGGAATTATTGCACAGGTAGCACAATGGTGACCTATTCCTTCACAAATGTTTGTAGAAGCAGTCTGCATGCCTCGGTGCTTGATTTTATACACCTGAATCCAATGATTTGGAGGGGTATCACAATACTTTTGGCAATATAGTATATATATAATCTTTGCATGACACTTTAAAATGGTTTATTGCTACTATTTTTTACGCTGTATCCAAAAGGCTGTTTTTTTTAAATATATATTTTAAACAGGTGACCAGAAGCCGAGAACTAGGAGCTCCTCCTGCTTAGATTTCTCTGCAGACAGGCTGGGAAAGAGCTTGGTCATGTGATAGCTGTATAATGATTAGGAAGAAGATACATAGATGTTTTTTATTAAAATAATTACAGTGCCATCATCTACCTAAACAAAGAGAAGGGATAATGTAAATTAAACAGTGTGTGTTTTAGTATCACTTTAACTTCTAACCACCTTTTTGTATGTTTAGACTTTTCCCTACATGGCATAATATCCTGGTTGTATTTTTAATGCCTCAGTTCTGCACCACACCTTCCACCTATACTGTATAGATATGCACAGTAAGAATACAGAAGGGAAAAACAGTCCTGTGTGTCAGGGAGAGTTACACGCTGAAATATATAAGGCTTGTTTCACACAGGCTCCAGCTTATATAAGGAGCAATGTGAACAGAAGGCTTTTACAAAGTATCTGCAGAGCTTTCAGAAAGTTTTAAGGGACAGGTCGCACCACAATTGCACAGGAACACAGTATGCGTCATGTGCGATCTCTTGAAGTGCAATTTTGAAGTCCACTTATTTGAATGGGCTGCCAATCTAACTGGACAGAGCAAAAAAGCAATGCATGCAATACTTTTGAAAAATGCATCGCACCAACTCTCACTGTGCTGCAAGACCACGTGAGCTGGTGCATAAAAAAAACTATTTGTGATGTGTTTGAAGTGCAGCTAACGTATTGCTCCTCACAACAGATCACAAGAGAGGTAAGCGGACAAATGTTTCTGTGACCCAGAAGACGTGTATGAGGTCACAGCTGTCACTTTCCCTGGTAAGAGACCAGTGCGATCTGCATTGCATGCAATGTATTGCATACCCTGCATGTAAAGAGAACCTATCCCCTAAAAATCAAAACAAAGGGGACTTTGTGTCTACTATGTGATGACTGAAAAAATAAAAATTAAGCAAAAGAGAAAAAAAAGTTACACCCAAGCATATATAACATCAAAGGCCCCCCCCCCAATTTTATTTTAAGCCCCCCCACATATACGCACATACGTAAATGCACACGGCAGGGTGCCTATGCATGCAAACATCAACTGCGATACACGTTATATATCACCACGCACACCAGTGTGAGTGTAATAATTCTAGTATAA